AGCATTTCTGCACCCTTTGTTGTGTTATCCATTTAACTGTGTGTCTTGGGTTTCCTGAGCTTGAGCTCCATGTGATTTCTGAATATGTGTATTCCTTGGCATTGCTACTTGTGTAATTTTGGATTTGTCCTTATCAGCATGAAATACGTGCCTCTCTTGACCGCTCTCTTTTGCGTCCTGCTCTTGTCTTCTCAAAATTGCCAGCTGTCTATGGTATAAAAGGAAATTAAATGTAGGCTATTTTTCAGCTTTGAACACTTAATTTGGATATTTCCCATGCTTATTAAATTACTCAAATACTAAAAAGTAATTTAAACTGTTGTCCCATCCCAATGTACTTTGATACATACTATTAATATGTGTGGTATGAAGATCACCTTTTGTACAGCATCATTAAACGCATTAAATTTATAAAAGGTGAGACAGCATTTATTTAATTGTTATAGCTATGAAAGTGTTATGCTTTGCAATTAATTAATTAATTTATTTTTGGTTCAAAATCGGAGCAGTTGTATTAATAGTGATTGCATAGATGTGGTATAGAAACTTTTTTCTCCTGTAAAAAAAATGACCCCATAAGTCTCAAATTTTTTACATACTAACTAAAACTTTTTCAGACTAAACTTTGAGAACCTTTAATAAAATCTGAAATTTTATATCGCTATACCTACAACTATCTATCTTGTAAGCCTGCAGGCTTATAATTTGTATTTGATTAGGGCTTAAAAGGGAGAAACTAACGACTGTTGGGAGAAAGTGAAGTCGTGAATGCATTTCAAATGCAAATAAAGGAAGTCTCGGGCGATCTCGCGACATTTTATGTAACGTCTACTTAGCAGTACTGTTTACTTTGTCGCTTCCTCCTCTTTCCTGCGTTATAAAAGCGGAGCGTGCGCACACCTCGCTGTTCACCTGATTTGATCGCAGGCTGAAAATGGACGCGCTCACCGTGCTGCCATCCAACTTCGGATATGTTATCCTCACGTACCTTTACAGCTGGATCATGCTGGGGTATTTGGCAGTTAAGGTTGGGGGAGCCAGAAAGAAGTACAACGTGAAAGTAAGTGAAAAACGAACACTGCGCGCTCTGAAGTGATTTTTATTTGCATCTCTGGCTTATTTCACGCTGTTTATTCTGCAGTATCCCACCATGTACAGCGACAAGGAGCAAGTCTTTAACTGCATCCAGAGGGCGCATCAGAACACCCTGGAAGTGTACCCTCAGTGGCTGGTTTTCCAGACCATCGCAGCTCTTGTTTACCCGGTAAATTTGATCATATACACTTAAATCAGTCTTCACTACTAAGTTTTTTTGTTTTATGCATTTATTGTGTTAGTTCAGTGGGTCAGGGGCCGAGCAGGAACACGCCCGCGTGAACTTTGGCATGATTTTTCCAGATAACAGTCTAGTTCAAACGTTAGTGTCAGAGTGAATAAGCAGATTTTCCTCGATCACAGGGGTGTGTCCACGACTTTTTTTCTCTGTGGTGGATTGGGGGTGCACAGTAAAACAGAAGTTATGGTCATAAATAAACAGAGTTTATAAAATATAAATCTAATAATGTTAATTAGGTTAAAAATCTGGGATATCTCACTACAGATCACATAAGAACGGTTTACGATATATAGATAGCATGCAAATATCCTGTTAGGCAGGTTTGATGTATGTGCAGAGAGCGGGAAGATCCTTAGAGGAAAGTAAGTTTACAGAAAGTTTAAGTGGTCGATAATGAGATGTCAGTGAGGAAGTGAAATGTTTGTAGCTGCTGAAGTGAGCACAATTAAAGATGTCAGAAGAATTGTATTTGCAGGCTCAGTGCTTTTGAAAAACAGATTATTGTAGCAGATTACTAAATATAAAAAAATTCAGTGCACATATCAGACTCATCTGTGGAGTGGAGACTCTGGTGGAGCACTCTCTGTCTCTTTTTTTCTTTTTAGAAAAAAATCTGTGCATATGCTTGGTTTGTTACTTTATTTGATAACTGTTTGTTAGTAATGATCCAGGCCAAAGACCAGCGGTTACTCAAAGACCTCACTGAACCTGTTAGAGCCCCTGATACCTGTGAGAGTGCATGACAAAGAAAGAGAGACAAGAAGGCATTTAGACACTTATGACAGTAGGGGGAGTGTTTGAATAGAGGTAAATGATCTCAAATAAATAAATAGACGTGATCTTTATGTATGTTCATGGACACAAATCACCATATATTTATATGATGGTTTTCCAGACGAAGCGGTGAAATGTC